GTGTGTGTGTGTGTGTGTGTGTGTGTGTGTGTGTGTGTGTGTGTGTGTGTGTGTGTGTGTGTGTGTGTGTGTGTGCATGGACACAGCCGCTGTAAAATGTCGGCAGCAGCACGCGCTCTCTCGTTACGTGGCGTACGCACGCACGCACGCACGCACGCACGCACACACAAACATGCGATGTGCGTGCGCGTCTGCCTGAGTGTGTGGTGGCGTACGCGCACACGCACACACACACACACACACACACACGCACATACACACACACGCACACGTACACGTACACGCACACGCACACGCACACGCACACGCACACGCACACGCACACGCACAGTGCGTGTGCGTGCGCGCGCGCGTGTGTGTGTGTGTGTGTGTGTGGTGTGTGTGTGTGTGTGTGTGTGTGTGTGTACGCCACGTAACGAGAGAGCGCGTGCTGCTGCCGACATTTTACAGCGGCTGTGTCCATGCACGGCACGCACGCACGCACGCACACACACACACGCACACACACACACACACATGCGATGGGCGTGCGCGTCTGCCTGAGTGTGTGGTGGCGTACGCGCACACGCACACACACGCGCACGCACACGTACACGCACACGCACACGCACACGTACACGCACACGCACACACACACACATACACACACATTGTACAATGTATATATTGTTCTCAGTCCTGGACGTACGTCCAAAACTTACCGTGTAAACAGATTCATCGTTGCGTCCTAGACGTACGTGCAAATCTGATAAGTCCTGGACGTACGTCTAGGACGCATCGTGTAAATAGGCCTTAAGGGGCATTAGCGGAAGTGAATTGAGGCACAATAACATGTTTATATGGAAAAGCTGGCGATATTCTGTCTACACATTATTGAAACTGCGTTGCATGCGAATGTTTGCGTTTAACTCGTTTTCGTGGAGATGTCGTTATTACACACACTCATAGGCGCCTCGAACACTGCATACAACATTTTTCAGTTGTCAAAAACGAAGTGTGTTATTCTTTCGCTTGCACCGATGTTATTGTAAGCATGCACGTTCGTGCGTGCCTGCGTGCCTGCGTGTACTGTTTGTGCCTGCGGCATTTGTGTGTATGTGTGTGCATACGTGCGTGAGTGCGTGCGTGTGTGCGTGTGTGCCTGTGTGTACTGTGTACACGTGCGTGTGTGTGCGCGCACGCGTTCGTGTCAGCGCAGTGCCGTAAGCCGTAATTACGTGAGTAAATTCCTAGAGGAAAGCCGGCGCAAAATTTCGTGACTCAACTGAGTAATAACGATGTGAGAGGCCCAGCTCCCAGTCAACGTGCTTACAGTCAACTTGGTTACAGTGGGTTTGAGACAGGGTTTCGCGGATGACCCCACGATGATTTACAAACATTTTTTGGGTAATTTACATTAGTTAATTATGCTTTAAAATTCTTCATTTCTTTTCTCGAACATCTACGGTGTTGGCCCTATGGTCGCGCAGTAGTTCTGTTTAGTGGCATATTGTCAGTACGCAGCGCATGCTTTGTTTTGACACAGGGTTCATCCGCTGACGTCATAGTACAAGCGACCAGGGGTCCGTTGCCAGTAACAAAATTAGTCGTAAGCGCTATCTTAGCATTAACATTAGCATTAACTTCACGATGTATCTGACAGCGGCCCCCAGAGCTTTGCCAAATACGATACATTCGGGGGTAAACATTTGGCCTATCCGAGAAAAGAACAAAAACGAAATTAATGCACCCATTCTTTACTCCTGATATTTTATAAATGCGCACATATGCACAGGAATCCATAACGTTGAAGCAACAGTTCGCGAATCTGACCATTTTCACTAACGTGATGGTTGGTGGTCAAGATGAGGGTTAGAATAATACTGTTGTTATTAATAATAACGCGACGTGTGTGCGTGAGCGCGTGTGTGCGACGTGAGCGTCAATCACACAAAGCGCGCAGCGAAAACTTAAAATGGATGTATAAATTAGTTTTTGAACGTTATAATTACTGTAACAAGTCTTAGCTCATACATTTTATTTTTTCTTTCCCATTCTTCTTTTTTGGGTGGGGCTTTTTGGTTTTGTCCCCCCCCTCTTTTTGGATTGGAGGGGCGGCTACCCCCCCTGCCCCCCATTTCCGGCGCCCCTGATTCTGACCCCCAAAATTAAAAAATCTCCCTACCGTGGGAGGGGTTTTTCAGTGTTTTTCTTTACCGGTCATTTTTATGCCTGTATTATTATTTGTGTTGATGATGCTGTTAATTGGCGGTCACATTTCTCAGTTTACAGCCCACCCTCGGTCGGTATAAGCGAACCGGCACCGAAAAAAATGCACAAGACCCGATTTCCTGACAAAATGATACAGTTTTATATTGATCACATGCAAATATACACACTCTCAACATCTAGAGTAGAAAGCCATGTAGCAGTTGTCATCTGCAGAGTAGGTATATGTTCGTCGTGGAGAATGTGCCTCCACGAACATTTCTGCGGCAATAATAGATACCAACAATAGGTTCCTAGGTAACCCATATAAAGGTAACAGGTACGCAATAATAGGTACAGGGCGCGTATCGCAAACTGCATCGTTACTGAATCTTATTAGTTTTTACACTGGGCGAAAATAATATGCGAACTAATAAGCAAACATAATATAAATATGCCGCGTGTTTTTCTGAGACATGCATGTATGCGGTATCATTAGGCTTCCATTGAAAACCTACTAACCCGGCGGAATGGTACTCGATAAATAAATAAATATATATATGAATATTTTTGTTTGTTATATATTATAATTTGTTTGTTTAGGAGTACACGATAGCTAATAAAGTTATCTCTTATCACATTATTATGTCTCATAATTATATTGAAGGTGGAGTAGTTAGGTGGTGCCACCTCACGGCAATAATTTACTGTGCACATTAAAGAGATAGCCCACGTTATCACTGCCAAAACTACAATATTATCATAAAATAAAATACAGCATATTATTTTTTAAATATAAATCTTACATATGTACTACTAGCGCCCTTAAATACAGTAAGCCAGGTAAAATACAAGCGATCCATAATATAAATAGTAAATTTGCAATTATAATAATTAGCGAATTTTCGCTACCTGCGCGTCGTATGCTGGGAGAGTCGTTTAGTGAGCCATTGTGCATGCGTATATTTGCGTGCGTGTATGATTTTCTGTAGATGTGCGCGCGCGCGCGTGTGTGTATTGTAATGATATACATAATAGATATATTTATATATACATTATATATATATATATATATATATATATATATAATCGAAAGTACATGAAAGAATGTCTTTCACGTAGTCCTGGCATCATTCCTAGTGTAAATGTTTGCTCAACTCAGCCGGGTGTCGGTCGACATGGCGCGCAACCAGCGCCATACTCTGTACATGCAGAAACGTGTGGGCCTAAATGTGTAGGCCTACTACGTGTGGGCCTAAATGTGTGGGCCTACTACGTGTGGGCCTGAATGCAGGAATCAGCACAGCGTTACTCATGTTCACGAGTCGATGCAACACACTTACTTACATGTAGGTGTCTGATAGTGTAGACAAATAGAAACCATGAATTATTTACAGTCTCGGCAACATTAAATAAATTCAGCTCAACAAGAGTACGTACCCCTTGTTTCTCGGCAAGCTCGACTGTTGCTGTTTCGATATTACGCAAAAACAGCCACTCGTCTATGAAAGGGGAAAATATATTTATGCGCGCGAATATTCACATACAACACTAATGTATGTGTAAAAGATGAATGTGACTTAAAAGATCGTTGCTCAGCGTCGAGTTATGCGTGCTGGGCATTTAACTACCAATTCATCAGTTAAATGAATCTCTCACTAAACGGATATGACAATTTAAAAATGTTGATAAATGTTGCACACATAATATAATCGTTATATCACACTAATGTCAAGTTGTGCCTACACCGCATGGCCCGTTATTGTAGAATATTAGAAATCCTGTATTGCACGTTAATGCAGATGATGCGCATGCGCAATGACCATTTACAGGGCAATTTGAAATAGTTTCAAATAAACGCGTGCGCTCCACCTACACACTTAATATTCAATCAACATAATAAATGATCATTTATTAAATAACGACGAAATTCCGAGCAAACTCTCGGGTTATACGCATTGCGAAATCTCTTTCTCCATGTTACTTCGTCACCGTATGATATGGATAACAGCTGCATTGCGCCGGCTACACATCCGTCCGTCTTTCTACGCGATGGTAACCAGTTCGTTTCAGCGCTTCAGTCGTAAGATAAAATCACGGACCCGCACCGGCACATTGTCACATGTTTTTTTATTAGATCACAATATCGTGAACTAGGCCCATCTTAACGCGAGCGCCCTCTAGGTGACGTAACCCCACGCATTTCCTGTTCAACGGCGGGTCTGCATCACGGTACGATATAAAATACCACAACGTCTGTCGCAATGCATCTTTCGTCTGCATGTAGATGTGGCAGGACGGGTACATTAGCATCATTTAAATATACGCCTGTCGTATATGGCCCCGCGTGTAGCCGCGGTAGCTCACACCCAATCTGGGGTCGAGCGCTGAGCAGCGGGTTTCCTGGAGCAGGTAGGATCGTACGATGAGAGGCCGTTAGAGAGACTCGGAGCGGCGGCGTTTGTCGCGGCGTTTCGCGTCACATTTGCGAATCCGTTCTCGCACGATGTGCGCTTTGCGTGCGTCGCCAACTCACGGCAACCGCCGCTGTCTAACGCAGTCGTGCTCGTGCTAGTCGCATCGGCTGCAGAC